CATGTACGACAGGAATGCCGTGCCCGAGAGGATGATGGGGTCGTTGCCGATAAAGCTGCCGAGGGCGAAGAAAAAGGCGTATAGGTAAAAGAAGAGCCACGGGCCTACTTTGCCGCCCTTCTGCAGGACCTTGAAGGCGAGATACCTGATGAGTCCCGAGGCGTCGATGGAGATTGCGACGTAGGCGAGCGTGATGAAGAAGATCATGATATCGTACGGGTAGATTGAGCAGCCACCGTAAGTCCCCTCGACGACTTCCTGCCGTCCTATGGCGCCGATGGCGAGCAGGAACAAGTCTGCGATGAGCGGGGCGGTGATGAGGTTGATGGGAATCCTCCAGGTAGTGGTCGCGTGCTTCTCAGTGGGTTCCACGGTAGCCAGCTCACGCCTCGGCGGGATGATGCGCGCCTTGACGAAGCATTGCCGCAGCCCGTCGTTGAACGACCTGGGAACAGGTATGGGAATGTGAAAGGGCGCAAGTACAATGATGTCTGCGAGCGTGTCAGTGTTGTTCTAACTACAAGGTGATGTGGTCCCGCCGCGGTGCGGCGGTACGGCAGCCAGGACTTTGTGAGACGTACTGGTGATCACAAAGACGATGAGTGTAACGATGGACCTCCATTCCCGGATGCTATTGACATCGCCCGTGTTGGCGCAGGAGTCGCTGGTGTTGGCCATGGCGTGGCGAGGGCTCTCATGTACCCTGTGCAAGTGAGGACGGCCCGCGATGTCGGGTAGGGAAGACTATGCGCACAATGCCAGAAGCGACGGCCTTCGAACCATCCTGGAGTTGGAGGAAGCAATGGTTTTCTCATTGTCTTGTCGTTGTTTCCTTCGGCGTGGCAATGCACTGCCGGGTCCATTGATGCCCAGCTCGCCCACTAAGGGAGGTCCCCTGTGCGCCCGGCGGGCCTGCTCGCCAAGACTGGTTAGGATGACATGTGGGCAAAGCCGCTGAGGCCATTGGCATGACCCAGCGCCCGCCGAGCTGCCAAGGTTCTTGACCACCACAACCACCATCGCAGCTTCCTCTGAGGCGGCATTACGTTGCTGCGGGCCCGCCAGCGGCCCCTTCATGACTGACGACTTTGCCGTTCCGCGCGGCCTGCCTCAAGACTGGTAGTTCATAGACCAGATGGGCCATTGTCTCAAGCATGGCCGACTCGTATCACGATCAACACAACCATGCAAGGAGTGGGCCGATCTCTCCAGGGCCACCATCGACACCAGACGATACTGGACGCGGATCGCATCCAGGCCACCACCGCCGTGCCCTCGCCTGCCAAGTACGGAGGAAGACCACGCGAGCATTCTCGAAGCACCACCCGCTGTAACAGTTCGCAGACACGACACGGGTAGCGCTGGTGGCTATGCCTGCAGGTTCCTGTACGACACCCGACCCCACCCAGCAGCCTGAAGCGTCGAGAGCGAACGAGCCACCGACGGGGTGTCGACAATCATTGCAGTTCCTGGCAGGGCCCCTAATGAGCTTGGTGCGGTGGAGACACGAACAAGCTTTTTAGAGAGGACTCGATTGTCGCCAAACATTCGTCACGTCACAGCCGCCCTCAAACACTTCGGGGTTGTATCTTCCAGCCCGCTTCACTCAGCCGAGTAACGACGTGTGAGTGTGAGGAGATGGTCCACTGGGCGTCATGCTCCGGCTTACACGTGTCCGGACGATGGCTGACTGCAGCTTCCAGTGTTGCATACTCCATACTCCGAACAGCGGCTGCAGCACCCGTGCCGAGGGGCGCAGTGTGTGTGCAGCCTACCAACCGCGGAAGAGCTCGATTGGGTTTGGGCATGGGGCCCGCACCACGCAGGGATCCTCCATCCTTATTGCAGTCACCGAAAGCCGGCTGGGGTTCTGCGTCAAATAGGTGGATGATCTTCAGAGCACTGCAGTGCTAATTCCCAAAAGTGCACTTTCAGCTAGAGTGTTAGCATGACCGATCAACACCAGTCCGGCCTCAGAATCCAGCGCCTTGCTGCTTTGTGTCACCGACCACTCAGGGACTCTGTAGCTGCCTGGCACGTCACCACCCATTGGGAAGGAGTGAGATCCGTGAAGACCCGGCCGCTGCGATCACCCCGCACAGCCCCAGACTTGCTTGCTTGGGTCTTCATCTGTCCACGTGCAGCATGTCAGGTAGGACAAGCAGCCTAGTAGACCTCTCGGAAGCCGCCGAATGAAGGCATGCGTGACAACGTCGAATGCCGATACAAAGCAGCAAGGCTGCGCCCAGTCCTGCGTGCTGTCCTGGGCTGGAGCTTGTCATGTCGGACAAGATAGACGCAAGGCTCCTGGGCGTCAGGTTCATTGCTCGCCGCCCCCTCACGCGACCACCTTCCACAAACATAAGCGGCCTCTCAACCAAGACCGCCGGTCCTAGATTGCATTGTCGTCGAGTCTGCCTCCCTTGATCTCTCACTTCGCTCGCCTCAAACACTGGCTGCACTCATGTCTTTCGCGAGTCTGGCTGCATCCTTCTGACACAGTCGGACATCATCACCACCTACTGCCGATCCGAACATGCCCGCCTTGTTCAACGCAAGCTCCGCACTCGAGATCGCCACATCGCCAGCCACGCAGAAGCACATTCAAGTGATTTGCGCCTGGCCGCTCTCGGGCCAATATGGACTCGGGTCCCGCATACTGTAGGCCCACGCCTCACGCGAATCATGTCTGCCAAGGGCGTGAGGGAGTTTACTAACGCCATCACATCTCTGCAGGTACTACATCCTGGTCGCCGCCTGTGTCATAGCCAGAAAGACGGAGTGGCTGCGCAACGCCTGCCTCGCTGCGGCGCTGATCTTCCCTGCAGTGGCAGCTTTCCACGGTATCGCTCTTGCGGTACTACATGTCGATGGTACGTGAGCCTCGCTTCATGCAGAAGCGCTGACGATTTCGCTGACATCCCTGGACGGCTTGTCTTAGGTGCCATCGACTTAGACATATACGGCGCTTTCCAATTGTGCTCGATCGGCATCCTGGCCGTCCCCGTCACGACGAGATTGTCGCGGACGTACTTTTACGATCCGGGGCGCAACATCATCTTCCTGTGGACCGGTCTGGTTCTTGCCGGTAAGCCGCGACCAACAACTTGTATCCGCAAGAACTGTGTCGCTCACCTCTGCCGTAGGACTACTCAGCTTGACAGTAGAGTTCTTCCGGTCGCATCCAATACCTTGCACACTCGATAGCAACGGCTTCCCGTATGGCGAAACACCATGTGGTCTGGACTACTGCCAGGAGGGAGGCAGTGGCCCGAAATCACCTATGAGGATGGGCGCCACAAGCGAGATATATGTGATCCCCGCCCCGACAGCGCTCACGTTCAACGCCGCGACCCTGCTGGCAGCTGCCTGCTGCATTCCAGCCATACTCTATCTTATATCCACATGGATCAAGATTCTCGAGCTCAACTGGAAGTCGCGCTTCGGCACCGGAGACTTGCAGGAGAAGATTGAAGGCACGAACGGCGCGACAGTCGGAGGCATGCTGCGCATCAATGCCGTGGTTCAGAGCTTTCTGAGTGTGCTGGAGATCCTCCTCTTTGGCGCAGCGGTTGTGGCCATCCTTGTCATTGGCGAGATCAACTTCTTCGGCGAGCCTATGATGTGGGAGACGGAAAACGTGCAGAGCATTGGTACGTCGCGCTTCCTAGACCTCTGACCTTGCAAATGGCTTGGTGCTGACCATGTACAGGTCAATGGGCGCCCCTCGTGGGAACTGCCATGGCAGTCCTCGGCTCTCTGTACACCCTTTTACTTGCAGATGCCGAAGCAGTGACAGGTGAGGTGCATTCACCTGCAAACAAGAGTTGCTGCTGCCAGTGTGCCCACCACTCGCCGCACTCGCCAATCCACAGATCACCGAGCATCCAGGACGGATCTAGCACGCACAGCAGCAGCCATCGCCAGCAGGTCATGCGGACAGGCCTTGGGCTTGGCGTCTCGCTGTCCGAACTTACCGAGAATGAAATGCTGCGTCGAGCCAGCACTGTAGAAGATACCGAGATGGACACACTGTCCATACGGAGGACGAGGACGATCGACGCGGCCAGCAGGCGGCGCGTGGCAGGCTACTTCAACTCGATGGCAAACTACTTGGGTACTGCTGCGCACGAGCGATTCGACAGTTCCGACTTTAAGCACGGCAAGGCAGTCGATTTTCCCGAGATCCCCGGTGAGGCGGAGCGAAATTCTAGGCTGAACGATATTCGCGAAGCTTACAACCAGCCACGAGAGGCCGACGGAAGCCTTACACCAGAGCTGAGGCCACAGCGATCACGTGCCAGTAGCTTCAACGGGCCTTTTGTGTCCGGTGCGATACCCGAGCTGGTATTAGGCGGTACTGGGTCGAGGCAGGCATCGTTTGATGACGACGTGCGGCCTCTGAACATCATAGGGGGGAACGGGTCAACCTTGCCCAATAACAAACCTCGGTCGAGCACACTGCCGACAGACAAGTCGCCACGCTCGAGCATGGACCTGGGCGAGCCTGGCGGGCGTCGTAGTCCTAGTGCGAGGGCCTTTGGCAAACAGAAACGGAGCAATACGCTCGAAGTTCCCGTGATCGAATATCCAGGCCAGCTTCGCAGCAGCAGCCCTGACCGTATCAGCGCTACTGGCGACAGGACTGTTGGCAGCCCTACCGTGTCAGGCACGCCAAGTATTGTCGTCTCATCTGACGATGCCGGCGCACGTACTTGAGGTGGTTCTACGATGCATAGCAGTCCGAACTTCTACAGCACCTCGCCACTACTTCGTGCACCCACAACATAGAATTAGGAAGGCAAAAGGGGAAAAGGTTAGCTCTGGGGATGCGATGGCCCCTTGTATAAGCCATAGCCGGCTCAGAACTCTACCGCCTCGCACGACAATGTCAGCCAGTCAATCACCAACTCCAAAGCACCGTCACGACTCTCAACACGATCCCAGTGCACCAGAACAGCAAAAAGAACAATCCTGGATGCTCCAGAGGCTCACAATTATGCGGTGAGGGTGGATCGAACACCCGACCTTCAGATGACTTGGTTGTTGAACCAGTAGAACCGAAGTTGTTGACTTCAGTCTGACGCTCTCCCAGCTGAGCTATCCCCGCTGTGTTGTGATTGGATGATGGAGAATGGGTGTTGTTATTATGGTATAGGTATAAAGTGAAATGTATGAGATGTATACGGTGGCCGGCATTCGCAAGCGAGTTGATTTCTTTTTTCTGATTTTCCCAGCATAACCGAGGTGTGGCGATGGTATGGTGGCAGTTTAGAACACATAGAAAGACATGAGTCCATGTATAGATAATGATCGAATACACCATAATGCAGAATCAGCAGCTCGCCACACGCTTGATCTTGCCGGAGAATGATCAGTTTGAAAGACTGGTGTGGGAGGCTGTCGGGAACTCTGGCCCACACAGAAGCCTCTACAGTGCAAGCGCCTTTCGCTATGCGAAGCCCATGTATTGATACTGTCTAACACACTGTCTGCACCCAGAGTCCACATCTGGAACGGCCGTGTGGGGGTGCCCGGGCTTGGGAACCGCCTTGCACGCCGCTTTCCCATGACCGAAGTCCTCAAGCAAATACACAACCTCTTGTCATTGGCAGCAATCATAACATCCAGGTCCTAAGGAGAGGCCACAGATGGACCATTCACAACGACTGTCAAGTCCGAGCGGGCTAGCGCGGGCGCGCTCTGGAGCGAGACGTAAGCTGAACTCCTCGCCCGGTCCCATCTCACCCCGACAGCATCGCAGCCTCATGTCAATGTGCGCTGCCCATAACCTCCTTTCGAGGGTTGTTCAGGCTTCCCATTTTACTCGCCTAGATGGGCGGACAGGAAGGACAATGTCGCCGCGGAGATACCTCACCTGAGGGGTATCCCATTTATCCATATCTGTACTCTGACAACGACTCCATCTAGCAATAAGACGGACCCTGACCAAAGGGCCACTTGACACAGATGAGTACGATCAACCTATTTGGACAAATTCCTATCTCCGTTCCCCTCCATCCTATACAACAACAAGGAGATCTCACCAGACTGACCATCCTACACAGTCCTCTCTCACCACAAGGCTCGTCAGGCCTAGCATCACCGGTCCAGGGCGGGAGCCCTCGCCCCAGCTCAACACAGCCCTTCCCGCGCTCGCCGGCACGATCGCCAGCTCCCCGGCCACTGTCGACGACAGGTTCCCGCTCGGCATCAGCCCAACGCACCCTCGTGGGCGACTCGGCGCCCCTGACGTCCAAGGACTTCTCCTTCCTTCTCAAGCCCGAGATCTACCACCAGATCTCGCCGCTGTCCATCCCAGCACCCTTCCGCACCCCGTCCCGCCAGCCCAGCCCGGAGGCCCCGATCCCGGACCTGCTCGCGCAGGGCCACTTCCGCGCCGCCGCCATCGCCGCCGTGCAGGCGCTGACCAGCAGCCCCGTCTCCGTCACCCAGGCCGCCGCGCACCCGCCCGTGTCCCCGACCGACCACGCCCGCGTCTTCAGTCTGCTCTACACGCGGCTCTCGTGCCTGTGCCTGATTGACGCGGTGCCCTTGGCCGCGCAGGAGGCCAAGGCCCTCGAGGACCTCAGCTCCGCGTTCTACCTCGACCCCCTGACGGGCGCGCACCTCGTCCCCTGGGAGCTGCGGCTGCTCGCGGTGCGCCTGCAGACGCTGGGCTTCGGGGACCCCCGCAGGGCCGTGGTCGGCTACTACGAGCTCGCGCGCGACGCGCGGCGGGAGATCGGCCGGGCGCTGCGCGCGCACGACCACTCCGCGGCAGAGCTGTGGCGCGAGAGGCTCGCTGATCTGGGTGTCAAGGTCGCGGGCGCGCTGGTCGAGCAGGAGGATCTGCTGGGCGCGGCGGAGCATCTCGCCACGTTGAAGGCTAGCAGCAGTGGTGGTGTGGGTGCGCGAGGGAGCGAGAGGCTGGCGATGAGCAAGGCGCTGCTGTGGCTGCATGTCGGCGACGTTGAGCAGGCGAGGCGGTGTATCGTGCGGAGTGGTGAGGGCGGCGGTGGCAGTGTGGCGGAGAGTGTCCTCGAGGCGCTTGCGGACATGGCGGACGGCGAGTACGAGCTGGCTCTGAACAGGTGGGCGGCGCTCAAGCGGGACCTTGATGGGGGAAGTAACGAGGACGTAGAGGCTGGGGAGTCACGCGATGAGATGATCGGCGTGAATCTCGCCGTGTGTCTGCTCTATGTCGGGCGCATGGAGGAGGTAAGTTCAACCACCTGTTCACCATCACTTTCTCTCTCCCACACTCAACGTCATGTGCACTTCCTTTCCCCCAGATCAAGCTCGCGACCTCAGAGTTCATATCGGCAATGTACTAACGCACCACCTCTTCGTGTCAAACCAGGGCCGCCAGATCCTCGAGTCCCTCGTTTCCCAGGGCCGCTCGTCCCACACACTCCTCTTCAACCTGAGCACCATGTACGAGCTATGCACCGACCGGGCCAAGACGCTCAAGCTGCAGCTCGCGGAGCGGGTTGCGGCGGCGCCGCATGAGCAGTCGGCGGGTCACTCGCAGGGCTGGGAGAAGACGAATGCTGACTTCAAGCTATAAATAAAACCTAGGAAGCTGGGGCAATGGCAGGATGAGAGCGCAGTGGCATATGTTGACACCAGACCTTTTGGCGGCCCCTTTCTAATAATACTACCCGTTTCGAAAACAAGAATCAATGGATGACGCTACTGCTTGATTCTGTGGCCGTCGACTCCTTATCCTGCTCCAGTAATCAAAGTATGCTTCCAATGTACACCATGCCTTGTGCTGTGCATGCTGGAGCACTTAATCCACGTTGACCGAAGTCCGCTGATGCGCAGCGATGGTGTTCTTCCCCTTAAGCACACAAGCCACGTCTCTCCATGAGTTCGTTACGAAGCCTTTGACTTTTTCCTCATCAAATAACCCGTTCGCCTGATCTCTCAGAGCATCACCGGGGCTGATGCCCAAGCTGTAGTCCTCCTCCAGAATGATCTTGGTCAGCGCCGAGACAACCTGCCCGCGGAAGGACGGGTCTAGCCGCTCCTCGCAGTCTTCGCATCCCGCTCCCGCCTTCTCCAGCTGTTGCTGTTGGTCGGCTGGCGATGGACTACCGGAAGCCGCAGCGGTGTACGGCGCTGGCACTATGGCCTTGATACTCTTCCGGATGCTGACACGCTGCCTCTCGGCCGTCCACTCGCGCAGCCTCTGCTCGTACGTGTATCTGACCAGAGGGCCGAACTGTACGAACGCGTCCTCCCGGACGGAGTCCCTCGTGTAGGCCGTTGCTTCATCCTGCTGGCCAGAGGTGACGCTGCTGCTTTCAGCCCTGACGTCGTCGTAGAGCAGAGAGTGGTGGTGGTGGTGATCGGGAAAGTACTCGCTCATGAACTCTGCGAACAATGGTCTGTGCTTCATGCGCCGCCGCTCGCGCGAGCGGAGGGACTTTGTGCTCTCCTCTGTGTATTCGCTCGCATCCCTTGCTGTCTCGTCTATGCTGGTCGGATCTCCTATTGCTGCAGGTGTTGCCTTTGACGAACTGGGTGATTTCGAAGTCGCGACCTCATTACTAGCTGGCTCAAGCACTTCAGAACAATTTTTCGGGTTCTCATCCATTGCTGTTGAATTGTTCTCACCGCACGTGAGTCGGCTGCGAAAGAGTCGGCAGCTGGCAACATACTCGAAGAAGTCCTTTTTCTCCGTAAAACGCGTAGCCCAGACGTCCTCTTCAGCATCGCCCTCATCCCGCGGGGACTTGGGCGCATCCTCGTAGCATCCACCGCCCTTCATGCCCAAGAACGACAGCACTTCTCCAGGCTCCGATGTGAGAAAGACCTTGGCCCTCTTGTGGTCGAGCTTCTCGATCTCCGGGATCCGCAGGTACAGGCCGACCTCATCAGCCGTTAGCCCATACGGCCTGATCGTGGAGCCGAGGATGCCCCAGAGATCACCGTGGGCGTGCTTGAACAGCTGCCACTGCAGGGTCTGAATATCCGGGAAGATGTGGAGGTCGACTTGGATGTACGCTTCAGCCTGTCGCGCTGGCGGCAGTTTCTCTGCAGTCGTTGCTGCTGCTGACATGCCTTCCTCAGCAACGGTAGAGAGCGGTGGAATCAGAGGCGCATACTCCTCCGGCCACGCAACAGCAGCATGGATCTCGCTCGAGCTCCCGTTCACGCCCTGGGTCCTCACCGCGCCCACAGCAGCGGCCGCAGCTTCCAGCAGACTTCCAGGAAACCTCGCCCTTGTCTGGAGCGCCGCTCGCGTCGGAAACAGCTCCGCCCGCGGCCAGGCGAGCGAGATGTCGACGTCTCCGAAGTCCGGCTTCGCGGGACCCTCGAGCGGCGTGGCGACAGCGACAAACAGCCCCCGCAGCCGGGCGTGGCAGTGGTTCCGGACGTGCTCGTAGACCTGGGGAGGCATGCGCGGCGTGTAGAGGGGTTTGCTGCCCTTACTGAAGATGGAACCGCCCATGATAGCGAGGCTGCCAAGGATTCTTGTTTTCTTGTGTGTCGATTAAGCTGATTCAGGTGATCGTCCAGTCCTCCGAGCGTCGACTCATACAAGTGGCTCGGAGGAGTTGAGATTTTGTGCCGATTGTCAGGGAGGGCTGGTGTACTTGGCAAACGAGCGAAGTCCAGGAATGAGCCAGTGAGAAGTGCGTGCAGATGCAAGTGATGGTCCGCTCCGGGTCTGTTTGTCAAGCCGGGACAGTGTCGGAGCAGCAACTCAACCACCTCAAGGAACCATGAGTAGATCCTGATGCAAGTGGCCCTGATACTTAGTACCCGGATGGCGTTGGTGGCATGAAGCCTCGCTGTGCCGGTGACTCATTCATGAGCAGAGTGTGGTGACGGGCGAGTCCGGTATAAGTGAGTGGCTGTGCCTCCTAGCGAGTTCTGGCAATTTGGACGTGCAGCACCAGAAGTCAGGCCGACCTCTCGGCCATGGCCCAGACGATGCTTCGGGAATCTTGAAGCTCTCATGTGGAGTCCCCATCTGGCGAGTGCCATTGCATTGCAGGTGCGTTGTCATAGTCGTGTGGAGGAAAAGTGAGGTGGTTGGACAGTGCAGTCACCGTGCTGCGCACTCGCCTGGCCACCTTCGTTGCGAACAGCGTC